TATATATATATATATAATCGTTTAGTATAAAACATACATTTAAAAAACTCTATAAATTGCCGATGATTGTAAAACGGAAATTGCTGATGATTGTAAAACGGAAATCATATCTTCCATGTCGGAAAATTAAATAAAAAAACAATACTAATTTGTTCAGATATCGGAAATTAAATCAAAAAACAACACTAATACGTACAATAAGGAAATTAAATCAATACGAACCAAATGCATATATGCGTTTTTGCTTTATTCAACACGTTTTATACTTTTGCAGATTTAATACAAAAATAGTTTATATCTTCTACACGATAAAATATAAATGTACAAATCCATAAGATACATTTTGTGGCAGCATATTATGCAATTTTTTTGGAGTCTGCGAACAAAAAAATAAATATTAATATTTCAATTCATCAATTAATTAAAGTTGGACGTAAAGATTAGTATTTACATTCATATAAAATACCCAAAATCCTACACTATCCAATTTTTATTCCCTTTCAATAAGTTTGTAATTAAAAGCCACTCTCAACAATTTAATTAATTGAAATTAAGATATATTAATTGATTCCTGTATATATAAATAACATATTTTATCAACTTCTCCAATTCATGTCCATAAAAAAAACGCATAGAACTTTCGGAAAATATTAAAAAAAATGAGAGAGTTATTTGATACACTCCATGCTATTAATAAACAACTCTAATAATTGAGATGAAATTTGACGTGGAATCCAATAATTTTTTTGAGATCATCTTTCAAGATCGTGAGGTAATATGTTGATTTGTTATATCTGTATTACTAACATACATAATTTTTTAATTTAACTTATTTTGTATAACTTCATATTGTAATAACTGCCATTATACGTTCTGCGTATATGTGTGTATTTCGAGGTGTATTTAAGCAAGACGATATATATGCACTCAGGAGGTTTTTAATAATGTATAATTTTTTGCTAATGACGATTTTATGGTTACTTTATAAATGTCATATGTGTTATAACAACTTATTAATAAATGACCTTTTAATTTTTTAAATTTTTCTAAAACATGTACTAGCCCGTGCATCGCACGGGTTACATACTAGTATTTGATAACAAAAGTATACATTTTAACTTAAATAAAATATATAATAGATGCTGGATATTCAACATATTTATGAGCCATACAATACACGCCATGTGTGTGCAGTTCACACCAAGCGACGAAATTGGGTACGCATAGTAGAGTACCCTTCAATATGTTCACATTGATAGATATCAACATTCATGACATTATCATATAATGTTTTTTTTTTTCTTTTCGGACATTGCCTATGTTCATTTTAATTTTTTTTTTTTTTTTAATTTTTTATAAACACTTCTACTTTTAAGTTGTGATAAATTCTATCACAACATTTTTTTTTTTAAGAAAAAGAGAGAAAAAAAATTGTAATAAATTACAAGTTGTTATTTATTTGTACACTTTGACTGACAAATTGGTTGTGAGTAGACATGACCAAAACTGATTTTCAGCCCGATTTCGGGTCAGAATCGCCGAGGACATGGGCCAAGGATTGGATGACCCTGAACTGGCCAGAACATATATACGGGTCGGTTCGGTGAACCGCTGATTCTGGGTCGGCCCAGTTCATTAAGAAAATAAAAGTATTAAAAAATTCAAAATTAAAAGAGTTGAACCGTCGGTTCTAGTTCGGAACCAGCTCGGCGGTTTCAAAAAAGTACATATATGTGTCCCGAAACTGGCCCGAAATTGAGTACACAAACAAAAATTATACTATAAATTTATAATTACGACAGTCTTGATAAGACAAATGAAAATGTGAGTCATCGACTAAACCTTACGCCAAAAGGCAACAAAATGACCCATAGATAGAGAACAATGAATTTGTGTCCAAATTAATTGGGACGACAAACTGTAGACAAACAAACTCCAATTGATGAGATCAAATCTTGTGCACACAACTGGTTTGACAAGAAGAATCCGATGGTGGATCACCCACCTAAACTGTATGCTAGATGGCATCGGAATTAAACTGGATACAAAACAACTTAAATTGTTTTGTTCGATAAAATTATGTCGGCAAATTAAATGAGCTATAATTGGACTAAAGTTTACTGATATGACTGTCTCGACCAGAAGAATCCAATGGTAGGTCGCACAACCCGTGGAGCATAACAGGAAAAAATCAAGAAAATATTTTATAGCCCACTCGTCAACGACCTGGAGAAGTAGTCTCCTTGATCCTTCTTACTAAGGTCAATTCTTTTAATCTAAACATAATTTTTTTCCCTTGCAATTGTGTCCAAATTAGTTGCATTTTTTTTATGACCAAACTACCCATTTTCCCACGTAGTTTCGTATATTCACTTCACTGTTTGGCACATATAAAAGGAGATGGCTAGTGAGCTTAGTTTCTAGCTAGTGTGTGATCATAAAAATCCACCAAAATTCCACAACAAAAAAGAAAAATATAAATAAATAATTTGACGAAAATGGTGAAGACGGCTTCTGTAGACGGTAACGGGTTGAAAAAAGGCGCGTGGAGCGAAGAAGAAGATGAAAAGCTGAGGGCTTATATTCAGAGGTATGGCCATTGGAATTGGAGATTGCTGCCCAAGTTTGCTGGTAATTAAGTTTTTATTTTCTATTTTATGTTGATTTGTAGAATTTGATATATAAGTTCGAAAGAAGTACGCATATCTGGCGAAAAAAGTATGATTGTCTAATCATTAAGTCTGTCTAACAACAATCTTTAATTACTGTGTTATAAAAGCTCCCTAAATTAAACATATATCCAATGTAAGTAGCTAAATTAACTTAAGGTAATATGTTGTTTTTATTATAAGGTTTGTCAAGGTGTGGAAAAAGTTGCAGGCTAAGATGGGTCAATTATTTGAAGCCTGGGGTCAAAAGGGGAAATTTCACCAAGGAAGAAGAAGATATGATCATTGAATTGCATTCCCAACTTGGAAATAAGTAAGATATATATATGTGTGTGTGTGTGTGTGTGTATGTGTATGTGTGTGTTTAATATGTGCATATTGTATTAATATGAGATAATAAAAAGGGAGATCTAGCAAGTTATATCATATTTTTTTTTACTATGAAGCTTCATATAATGTATTAATCTTACTTATATTATTAGCTTACAACATTTATCATCAATATCAAACTTGAACTAATCTTTGTAGCATGTTATATATCAATAATGCAGGTGGTCAGCCATTGCAGCAAAACTTCCGGGAAGAACCGACAACGAAATCAAGAACTTCTGGCACACGCGTGTTGGGAAAAGCCGGAGACAAAGTCCATTGCCCGCCGATACTAATAATACGACTGAAATTTCTGAAGATCGAGAGTTAAATCATGAAGAGGAGTACACTTATCACGAGACGGGTCAAAATGAATCCACTTCCTTAGACAGGTCTGGTTCGTTCATGGAGCCCGGCCCGGTTGATTCGTGGCCCGATTCATTTCCGACCAACGCCACTGCAGCTTACGGGCAGAATGATTTCTACCCGTCACTGCCCGAAGATGATTTTTTCTATTCGGGGTTTGGTTACGGTGATCATTTGTCGAGCACGGGCGACTCTTATTATTCGAACGATCAACCATGTTTTTGTGGCGAACCTTTTGCATCAACTTCGCAATGTCAAACTAGTTATGTTCCACAAGAGGAAGTTGGAGGAGTTTATGATCCTTTATTTGAGGACTTTGATCATGGGATCAATTTGTTTAATTAGCTAGAAATAAATTAGTTGCATGAAGTGAAAATATTAGGGTTTAGAGTTTGAGAATATTGTGTGTGTGTGTGTGTTTGGGTATCATTTGCATCATTGGATACTTGAATTTTGTAAATGAGGAATGCATTACTAGAACAAAAGATTTAATAAACTTATTTATTATCGAATCTGCTCCCCTATCCACGGTGGGGCAGAGAATTAATATGTCCACCGCTTGTGTGGCATGTACACATTGGACTTATTAATTCTCTCCCACTGCTTATGCCCAATGTGTACATGTCACATAAGCGATAAATATATTAATTCTCTGCTCACCGTGGGTAGGGGAGCAGATCCCTATTTATTATATAGTACTAGTAGTATTATTATTGTTATTTGACTATTTCCAAACACTTGCAAATATATTTTGAAAATAAGAGAAAAACAAGTATAAGATTCCCCTACTCAAACATAATATTCCAACTCAATCAAATATTGACTATAGAATCTTCCAACCATCCAAACCTTAAAGCCAACCAAGACAATAGAAGATTAATTTGCCCCCACAACAATAAACAACATTGAGTAAGACATAAATAACCTCTACTTTGTCTTCCTTAAACCAATAACAAGTCTCCTTTCTTATTCATATTGTCTATGTATCATTTTCCAATCAATCTAATGGTTCTTTCTCTAAGGCCACAACATAATGTATATTAATATAATGTATACAATTTCCATCTATTTGATGCCTTAAATTCTAATTATTATCACCATCATTGTTATTATTATCAACCTTTGAGCCCGAAATTGAAGGGACGACGCTCATGTCCTGCAATGCCTGGCCCGTGCAAGAGCCCAATGCCAGGGCCCACAACGACTCGCAACCTTCAATTGCTACACCTTGTATCTTATCGTAGCACTGCAGAAAATCCTCCTAATATAGCAACCGAAAAAAACAAAAGAAAGAAAAAAGTTCCCATCAATAAACGAGCGCGTGAAAATTTTCAGGACTTTTCAAACTCGTCACGAAATTATTAATACCGTTGAGTATTAATTATTACAAGTACTTATATAGCAAAATACCACAAATCAACAGCAAGGCATATATAAGGAGGTTATTAATTATACCTTATCTACATAAGAACAGCTGCAAACAGCATTTTTGAATGAAGGAAACTGAACTGGAAAAAATTCGTTAACCGCGCAAAGGAGGGCCGAGGCTGAGATAAGCGAAGGCTTGAACTCGAGCAACTTGACATCTACGTAGCAAAATAAATGAATTAACGTTAGTTTAATCGGCTTAAAGTATTATTATCAGGTGATTTGTAACGAAAGTTAAAACGAAGCTAACCATTTGGAGCTTTCAAGATTATCTCGGTGGCCCTTTTCTTCAAATTCGGAACCGAATACTTGTCGATGAACGTGACGAATGTGATGAAATAGCTCAAGAAACAAAATGGGTTTGCTGAGCGCATACGCCATTTTAGAGCTCCGAGGATTAGCAACTCCATTCGGTTGATCGTGCTTGAATCAAACATGAAGTCTCCATCTTGCTGCATATATGTATATATATAATGAATCAAATTAATAGATATTAAATAAAAACAAGAATAAAAGGAAAAAAAAGGGGGGTGTGGGGAGGAAAGAAAGAAGATAACTAAAATGTACTCTAAACACACACACACACACACACACACACACACACACACACACACACAAGGCACAAAGATGAAGATTTTACAATAAGATCAGAAACAGAGAACTCTGTTTTCCTCATTTTCAGTCCTAACGAAACGCAAGCAATCGCCACAAGATCGAAAATCCACAGCTTCCCATCCTGAAAAATCGAATATTCAATAAACCCACAAGAACATTTATTTCTTTACATTAAATATATATATAAAATTGAATACAATTAGCACAGAACGAACGAGCACAAGCACGATCACGTTATTGATTATTTCCAAGATTTTACGTAGAAAGGCATGATATATATAAAAAAAGAGAGAAAAAAAGGGAAGGCTCACCGGGATCGAATGAGTAGAAAGAAACCGGTCCATGTAATTAACAGCAAGATACTTCAAGAACGGGTCGAATTTACCCGAAAAATGGGAGATTGAGCTCATGATTTCGCTGCGAATTGTTCGGTTAGAGCCTTTAGAGTCGAGGGACTGCGAATAAGTCTTGGCAGGCATATGATCACTCTCCATTTTGAAGAGTAAAGGGAATGTGTCATCAGAAGGTGGCAAAGGGTTCTCAAGATCAAACTCCATTGATAACTAAACAAAACAAAAGGAGAAAAAAGAAGAAAAAAAAAAAAACAAAAAAAAAAACAAAACAAGAAAAAACTCTTGCTTAGGTTGTTTTTCTTGCTTATCTTTAGGCTCCTTAGCCTACTATAAAGTTCATGGCTGTCCTATTTATAATTGAAACTGAGAGAGAGAGAGAGAGAGAG